TTGGCTCTCTGCAGCCGCATAAAATAAATACATTTATATGATTTATATACAAGAATCATTTGAGACATTATAAACAGAAATGTTGTTTTAGATAATAATTTGTATAATACAATATTGCGGTTACAGTAATTTATAATGGAGAAAAGATTCATCGGTTTATGTCTATAGGATTCCGAAAAACTCTTGCTAACTTTCTTTTGAACCTTTTGCGGTGAGGATTTTGATTACCTATGTGAAAGTGAATAGCTGAAGGGCACTTTAATATTCTGGAATAGAATTTTACGGATAAGAGAGAGAAATGGATGGGGATGGTTTAATGCCAAGTTCATTATGTAACTGCGCATTCGGAATGTACCAGAGAGCATTTGGGATGGTGCGTAGTAATCTATTTTAAAAAATTTGGAATTTGTTGATGTTTGTTTTGGCTACGGCAGCCCAGACAGGGGAAGCATAGGACAGTATGTGTCGTATCATTGTTTTATAGAGGTGAATAGCAACATGTATTTGTAGGGAAATGATTTTTTTACAATCGGATATAATTGATGGACTCTACAAGTCGCTAGCCCTTTTCGGTGTTTTATATTTTGCCGCCATGTAAGCCTTTTACCGAACAGAACTCCAAGATATTTGACAGTTTTGTTGGGAGGGAGCCAGGTGATGTTTTGTGATTGGTATGTTGGATTTAGGGGGTACGTCTGGTCTACGAAGGGTAAATATTTTTGCCTGGCTTTTATTAGGATTTATCTCAAAGTGCCATTTTTTGGCCCAGTTGAAAAATAATGTGAGGTGATGCTGCAGATCGTTCACGGCAGTTGTAAGATTGCTATTGAAGGAATAAAGTACTACATCATCAGCAAATAGAGCTTTTGCAGTATTTTGGGTTATTGGTATATCCGAACTGTAGACATTAAATAAAGTGGGGGATAGGATGGTGAAATGTGTGGAGAGAGCTCCGGCGAGACGTACAGAAAATGTTCGGTTGGTAAGAAAACTTTCAATGATGCGTGAAATGGAGTACCTACATTGCGCAGTTTGAAAATTAACCCTGCGTGCCAGACGATATCGAAAGCTTTAGCTATATATAAAAAAACTGCTGCGGTGTGCTTGTGGACATGAAATCCTTCAATAGTTAGGCGTAATATTTGATGATACGTGGACAAAAGGGGTTCTAATCAAAACTGATGAGGTGGTATGGCATTGACTGAGCTGAGATATGAATTTACACTAGAGATTATACATTTTTTATATAGCTTTTTCATTGTAGGTGGCAAACTAATCGGGCGATAGCTGGTTGGATGATTATGAGCTTTCCCTGGCCTGAGAATGGGAATAATGTGGGCGTGTTTTCATTTATCAGGGAAGTACGTTTGTCTCAAGCGGCATTAAATATTGCTGTAATATGAACGATTACTTGGGAAGGCGTTTTAAAAAAAGTTGATATTAGATCATGGCCATTTCATAATTTCGGGGTTGCTAGTGAAAGATACTTGATGATTTCTGATGATGAACTAAATTAGGGCATTCACGAATTAATATTACTGGTCGTGAAATTTCTTCTTGAATATGATTATTGTGTTAAGAATAAGAAGTAAAGGTTGATGCAAAATAATTACCCAACATATCACATTTATCAGAAGGAGAAGCTGCTTCCCCAATTGGAGAAACAAGGGTGGGTAGATTGGTAGGTTTGCGCAAAAGACGTCGGGTTATATTCCGCAGTGTATGATCAGATGGGTTTGCCGTTTGAGTTTGAAGATGAATCTTTTGCACGTGTATGGACGCCAAAAGTTGCCTCACAATTTTAGTTAGGAGGTTTAAATAAGTTTTTAGAAGATGAGATCGATGTCTCAACCAGTTATTACGAATAGTGATGAAACTGATCGTTTATAATCTATCAGTTCCTTCACTACAGGTGGTATTGCTTGAAGAAAAGTGCGTTTATGGGCTGTGGGGGCAGTTAAGTCGACAGCATCGAATACAGTATGGGTAAGTGAGTCAATGGCGCTGTTGATTTCCTGCGTAGTCGGAGTAATGGCATTGGGGGTAGAAGATGTAACTAGCATCTGATAATATGGCCAGTTGGCATAACATAAATTATAAGGCTGAGTGGGGAGAATTTCTTCTGGGGTTGTATCGAGTGAGAAAACTATGGGGCGATGATCGGATTGCAGGGCGATATGAATCTCGATTTGAATGTTACAACTAAACTTATTAGAAACGCCGAAATCTAGTATATCAGCTTGCACTGATGCGTGGAAGGGATAGTAGCTGGGTGTATCAGGGGCACGCACAGCCAGATTTAATCATGTCAGCTAGCGACATGTCACTAAGTATGTCAGCTAGCGACAGATTACCAGTAGGTGAGTTTAGTCTACTTCCCAAGCAACGTTTTTAGCATTGCAATCACCGATCACTAATGTCGGTTGACGGGAGGAAATTATGGCATCAATATGACCTGATCTGTATGGAATATTAAGGGGCTTGTAAATTGAAGTGGTTATTTGGGTAGATTGACATTTCATTTGAATAGCCACTAATATTTTCGAAAGTATTATTTATATTTAAAGGTAGCTGGTGATGTGTTACGGAATGTTTTATAAATATGGCGACCTCACCGCTGCACCGTTTTCGCGGTCGGTCATAGCGATATAAATCATAACCGGGAGCATAAATTTTCATCGAAAGGCAAAGATAGGCTTCCTGAATGCAAGCTACTTGCATTTTATTATTAGGCAAAAAGTAGGTTAGCATATGAATATTAGGTATTACACCGTTTGTATTCCATGAAATGAGTCGAAGTGAGGAATGAGTGGAGCTACTTATAGGTATGTTTTATGGATAATATAATTGCTTTGATTGAAGGATGGAGTTTGTGAGATAAGGAATAATTTAATTAGGAGTTTGGAGAAAAAATGCTCTACTTGTTGGGAGATTTATTGTTCTAACTGGAAGAGCTGTCCAACGGGCGGTTGTTTGAAAACATCTGAATATAGCTGCATTTGGTTTGGTAATGTTGGCTATGAAATTCTATGACCGGGGAAATATGGTTCTTGATGAATTGTGATAGGTATGGAAGGGTAAGGACGAGGATAGGCTACAGAATGAGCCCTTGGAGGGGTTAATATGGATGGTGGGGCTTCGTTTGGTGTGCGAATTATTGTCGGATGAGGTAGCGAGATGGAGTTGTTGGCCGACAAATTAGTTCAAATTTCTAACAGTTAGATTGGCTTCTAACAGCGGCAGGCTTCTAACAGATCAGTTTCGTTACTATTCTAAGGCATTTCAGAATAAATTATCATACATTTCAAATTTCCCACTCAGGAGTCTAAATTTTACTCAAAAAACCCGCAAACATTTTCTTCCCAGTTGACCAAATACTCATTTCTTTCGTACAAGGTTCTTTAACATAGATTGTCAACTGCTTCCTGTTAGTTTGGAGCGTCTTCAAAAGATCGCATCACCTTTTGGGCGGCCGCGACGAAACATGTACTATTGTTAAATTTCTCGGAATCCAGCCCTTTCTGCGTTAGACGCAGCGGGCTCGCATTGTCATGAAAATCAGAAGAGCTGCGAGCAGTTTCCTGCCCAGTGTGCACAGAAGATAATTATATGTGTAGGGGGAATTCAAAGTTCAATTCGGGTCGATGCCAGGCAATTCCCAGCACCTTTCTACAGTCTAAGGTGCAGTAAAACGTGAAATTCGTAACGAAAAAGTTAAATTTCGTCTGGACAGAGGTAACCGGACTTCGTCTGCACAGAGTGACTGCTCATAAAGGTTAAGGTTGACGATTACAATTAATCAGTTTGATAACAGTTATTACTGGTAAATTTTTGTTTGCGATGACACCTCGTGCTGATATGTCTAGTAATAAACACTGATTAAAATGCACTACACTGCACTGAGATATTTAAACAAGTCACTCGCTTCCTGAACGACCGTAACACGGCCCCGCAAGACCCCTTCTTATCACTGGTCACAGTCGAGGTACTGCGGAGCGATAAGCAGCGGACGAGGTGTACACACTTCAGTAGCCGAGCGAGGATTGATTGCTGAGTTAATTCGTCAAATATATAACAAAGAATTTGGGCTCTTTACACAGTTACAAGGCATTTCTTCTTCTGAATTAATCTAAATCATAAACCTTCACGAAGCTAGAACACCATGAAGTCACATCCGAGCCGCATTCCTTGCTATCAGATCTCTCAATATTGGGACGCATCTGGCAAGGAACAAAATTCAATTCTGTCTGTTCGAGCATGACTTACCAACAATATTGCCAATCATTTCATTTCCGAGACATTAATTTTCTGTATTCAGAGTATTGTATAGGAAATACTTGTACATTTTTCAAACAATTATACCTGCAATATAATTAAATGAATCCACAACAAAATAAACAATATTCAGCGTTTTCAACATTTATGTAGATAGCGACTAGCGTGTCACAAGAAAATAGAGTCTGAGAGCAAGAAATGATTTCATATTCGAATACAGTGTCCAAGTGTTAGATAACAACATCATTCACATTCTTTTTTACAACGATTCTGTTGTTCAATCTTATTTAACATGTGGAGGTAGAGAGGAGAGTTTTAAGAAACATCAGAGTTTACCAAAATATTATTGAAAATATTTGAAAGAGAGGTCTATTTGTTTGAAATTAAGTGGTTTTGTTACGATTTACTATACCTCATATACATTTGTAACTAATAAATATATATTTACTGTAAAATATATGCATGCTCTTGTGATGCCTCAAATAATCTGATAGCAGTATGCAGAAAATAATTGCAACGTATTGTTAAATACCTATGTGATTACTTCTTGAATACGTTTTGTTTCTTCAATTATTTTGCAATTTATTCTGGGTCCATCATTGATCTCTTCATTTCAAACACACATATATTGGTGTCCGGTTACCGGAATGTTATTAGATGCGACTTAATAATACGTTCAAAAACTGCATTTGTTTAGCGGTTTGTGCATTCACCAACTAACGTACCTTGATATATGCGGTTCCTGTGATGATGATTCGAATCACATCCACAAAACTTCGAGTGTAGTCTCCAGAGAGTCCCAAATACGTTCTTCGGCTTTTCACAGATTTGATGTCAAAAGCGCCCACAATGTGCCAAGACACTGTCCCTGACAGAAGTATCAACCCCAAACAGAGCCATGTTGAAGGTTGATACGGACGCAGAAGCATCAAAGTCAACGGGACTCGTAGAGCCTTGCGTACAATTACGCACACATCGTTCTGATTCACTGGTATAGTGTAGTCAGCAAACTCCAATACTTTCGTGAGAAACATGAAAGAAGAGGAGCTAATGTGGGCGGTCCGTGTCTGCAATCTGTTCAAAAATAACTATTTAGACATGACTATTCCACGCGTGAAATTAAAACCAATAATGTTTAACTACACATACAAAATGTCCCAATCAGGGCGGTATATCTCAAAACGTTTATCGCTTTTTCTATCGGATTTTTCTTACCGCTCCTACCTAGTGTCCAATCATAAACTGTATGTATGTAGACACACGTATCTTAGGAGGCTGTGTACACTGATCGCTATGTCGATGTCCAACAAATAGAGTATGTACTATAACATAACCTCTTTGACTTTAACATAGCTTTCAGTTACTTTCAATACTTGACGCATTTTGGAACTCTGTTGGACATAATTCATACTTGGAATAATCCTATGAAATACCACTCGTACTTTGGAAATTCTCAGATTAATCCCCTCCTCGCTTCGCGAGGCGGGAATTTATCGACAATTTCCAAAGCTCTCGTGGTATTACCTATGATAAACAAATTTCGTTACTTCATATTTTAAATCTGTAATGAACATGTTTCGGTATTTATAAATATCTGCTGTAAACAGTTGATTAACTGTGATGGAATGATCAATCAAAAAGTGATTAAAAGCCTGCACGTATGCAAATGGTTTCAGTTAGTAACAAGTAACTACTTTATTCTATAAATACTTATTTGACATATTTTGCTCTTTTAAAGAAAGAAAAATTGCGAGTCTTTCCGACAAGTTTACTTTTATTCTTAGAGTAACCGAAGAAGCTGCCATGCACACATGTTTCCACCAATGATATTGACAATGTTGTCTTAAATATGTATGGGTTGCTTGTGTCTGCAATCTGTTCAAAAATAACGATTTATAAATTACTATTCCACTCGTGAAATTGAAACCAATAATATTTATTTACACATACAAAATGCCCCTATCAGAGCGGTGTATCTCAACAAATTTATCGCATTTACTATCCTATTTTTCTTACCGCTTCTACCTACTGCCCAATCATAAACTGTGAGTCATCTATCTTAGGAGGCGGTGTACATCGACCGCTATGTAGATGTCCAATAAACAGCGTGTGTACTCTAACCTTATGCGTATGTACTACTCTTTGATTTTAACATATTTTCAATATTTGGCGCATTTTGGAATTCTGTTGTACATAATTTTACTCGTGGAATAGAACTATTAAATACCACTTGGGCTTTGGAAATTCTCTGATAAACCTCCTCTTCGCTTCGCGAGTCGGGAATTTATCCGCAATTCCCAATGCACTCGTATTACTTATGATAAAAACACATTTCGTAACTTCATATTTTAAGTCTGTAATACACAAATTTTGTTATTTATAAATAGCTGCTGTGATCAGTGGATCAACAAAGAGTGATTAAAAGCCTATATGCGTGCAAATTGTTGCAGTCAGTAACAAGTAACTACTTTATAGTGTAAATACTTATTTGACATATTTTGCTCTTCTAAAGAACGAAAAATTGCGAGTCTTTCCGACAAGTTTACTTTTATTCTTAGAGTAACCGAAGAAGATGCAATGCACAAGTACGTTTCAATCAACGATATTGACAATGTTGTCTTAAAAAATCTAAAATAGTAAACTTATGGACGATCGTCCAATTGATCGTCATTGTCACTTATATACTAAATTAATTACCTGCCAATGGGTCCTCTGAAAGTGTTATTCGGCAGATTGAAATTTGAATATGCCTCGTGCATCATTATACGTCTCCAAAATGTCGCAGAAAATAGTGTGAATGCACATAAATCTGGTCCATCAAGCTGCCCTATATTTTCTTTGGTTGACCATGTATCTTCTTCTAATCTGATAGTAGAAAATGACACGGTAGGAACTCTCCATCCCCAAGCCCATTTCTTGTGGTCTGCAATGGAATTGGTACCTCCGTCTGAAGTGCAGAACGAGTCCACTGTTTGTCTTTCCAGTGATGCAGAAACGAAGAAAAGTGAAGGGTTCCTGAGGCTTTTCCGAAAGTACTTAATGAAAACTGTGAGTGTAGTAAAGCCAGAGCTTGTTTTAAGTAGATATATCCCAGTGAACCTAAAAAAATCATTAACACAATCATAAACATATTTTGTACAAACCTGAAACATGATTTGAACACAGAATTTGTTGGCCATTGATACCGGAACATAAGTCGACGGGTAACGTCTATCTTCTGTGGTCAACTATAGAACCTGCATGGAAAAACGTTTGAGGACAAAATTGATATCCCCCATTTGAACTGGCAGAAATCGCAGTCTTGAGAGTTTTAATAAGATATTTCGATTTTCAGGATCACACTATTTGAAGCCAGAAAATTTTCAACACTTTCTCAAAAATGTCCTCAACATTTTAATTTTATTTTTCCCAAGGGTAAAAATGTTACATTTAGGAAAGACGTGCAGGTTGCACTCTCTGAATTTTTGAAAATTACAAACGTTCAACATTTTTCTTACGACAATTACAGTATTGAAGATATAAACATTTTTTTTAAATGTATTCTTCCAACATTAGTAAAGATAAGTACAGTTTTTGGAAAACGTTGATGGCCTGCACGGAATATTACGTGTAATACATTTATTTCTTCAAACAGCGCGACGAAAGTTTTTCTTTAATTTTTTCTCGAATAAAGGAAGTATTTCTTTAAAATAACGTAGTTTTTTATTTGCAATTAGTTTGAAAATTTCAAAGCATTAACATAACAAAACTACAATATTAGAGATTGAGATTTTTTAATGATTTTAAAAGTTACATATCTAAACAAAGTAATACTTTTTTTAAACTAATAGTTTTTGCGTAATTTTACTTCTGTATATAGGGAATTGATAATTGTTTTCCTGCAAAACCGACTCATATTTTTTCTTCGGATTGTTCCTCTGATAACGCAAGGCGAAGTTTTCATTTTGGTAGACGTTTGTGAATCAACATCAAAATTGCTGATTCAAGGTGACACACTGGCTCTCCTGAGCCAACAGTGGAGTTATAGTTTACAAGCAGTTCAGAATCTGTAACAAATGACATGTTCGACGTGGATGTGCGAGGAGAAGAAGCGCAGTCGCCGGTGCGTGCGGAACGGAAATGCGACGCTGGCGACGAGGACGACGCCGAACCGCGTCAACTGCGCTCGCCGACCGCCAAGCCCTGCATATCTCCACACGTCATGTGGAAAAGCACACATGTGTTACATGGATAGGTAAAAATTTGCAACGATTAATTTTAAAGGAAAATTACGACAACATAGCGCAAAGCAAGGGGAGACAGAAGCGATTTTGGCACAAAAAAATAGATTTTTTGATTTTGTGATTCAAGTAGCGCGGTTCATAATGCACAATTTGATAGTTGTTTGATAATGATCGGATAATTACTTTCCGAGATATATAGATTTTAAGATCTGATAACATGACATGTGCCACGACCCCTTTCACTTCGTGTCAGGGTTTTTTTGAAATGTTTTAATAAAAAATATCGTTAACGATAACCTTTTGTAATGTTTTCGTTTTGTCGATGTTTCCTGCGTTGTTTTGAACCTCGCTTGTTTTCTAATGTAGTATTGTTAACGCATTTTACTGCACATGTATTTGTGTTTATAAGTTTTAATTCTTTGTCTGGTCTTCATTACATAAGTATTTACGTACAAATTTTGACGTTTCCTACTCCACATAATCCGGTCTCAAATTATGACAATATTTATGTTTTCGTTACGAGGGCTCGCCAATAAGCGTTTTTCGGTCACAAGATTTCTGGCGAAGATTACAATACATTGTAGCTTTAAATTGTTAGAAGAGAAAGTAACTAGTGGTGCTACAGAATGGCACTTACTTTCCCGTATTAGTTTCCTACTTCCTTTAGTCTCGAGTAGCAATTCGGGCTTGCCACATTATCTTGCCAGTTGTCATCTATCGCCGCCCAAAGTGCATTTTTTGAAAGTTTCTTAATTTTTCGGTTTCCTAACGGTAGAACGGAAATATTATTGTGAGATTGTTACATAAAAGTAAAACCTCGCCCTAAATGGTATTTTCATTGAAATATTTGGAGCCGTTTTTAAGATAATGGTGTTTAAGCGTTACTGTGAATGCGAAATTTGAACCCCTTTCCCCAGAAAACTATTGAGTTTTCAAAAAAACTTTATAGTAAAAACATTTCATATGCTTCCAGTCACAAATGCAATAGTGTTTACAAATCGCTGGAAATGCGTATATTGAAGTCGTGGGAGACATTAAAAAATTACATTTCTGTAGTTTTTGAAAACAAAAAATGCCATAAAATGTACTTTATGTCATATTAAACAGTACAATTAGCACTATCTGTTGGAAAATGATAAAAAAATTTGGAGCCATTTTTGTGGTAAAGGCGTTTGAGTGATTCTGAAAATGGGGAATATTTAACCGTCTTCACAGAAAACTATTGAGTTTTCGAGAAACATAATTTGATATTATTTAAATCACATGTACTTATAAACGCAATAATTTGAACAAATTGCTGCTAATGTAAATAATAACGACGTGTGAAGCAAGTCAAAAAATTAAATTTTCAGAATTTTTTGAACCAACAAATGAAATAAGCAACAGAGTAATTATGTCATCTTATAGAGTGCATTTACTCTCTTACTTGCACTATCACTACCAAACGTTTAAAGAATAAATGTGGTGCCGTTTTTTAGGAAACCTAGCTTTAAAAAATTGCAAATATTGCACACAATATTGCTTGGAAAGTACTAACATTTTTTAAACTACTGTGCCTGACTTTAATTAAAGAACTCACTAAGAGAAAATTATTAGAAGGAAAAATCTCTGTCTTTAATTTTGTAGTTGTAGAACAACGCCGGATATAATTCAAACTTTTGAAATTTTCGAAAATTTAGAGTTAACAGTGAAAATCCAATCTAAAC